TCGAATATTTATTTGGAAAATTGAGACAAGACTACAGTTTGTTCTTTTTGACAAAGAGATTTTAAGTATTATTTTAAAAAAATCTTAATATGGTTGTCTCATATTGTACCTACCTGTATCTTTTTGGATATTTCTTCTAACATCTTTAAATTTACAACCTGTAAGTAGTGAGGCAAGTGAAAAGGTCAGTTTTTGGTCATAGATAACAAGTATATTTAATCATATATATAGTACTGTAGAAACTTGTTCCACATGATCATTTATATGCTTCAATTCCATTTTGAATGTGAATTTCAATTTCTTATCTTCTAAGAATATAATTCTAGGGCTTCATAGATCCCAGCTGAAGAAACTCCTAAGCAAGGATTCTTTCTTCCGTTTCCTTTCTGTAACCAGTACCTGGCTGTGGTCCTGAGCCTCGCACTGAGCCCGTGGTCACGTTTTATGAAGAGAGGTCAAAGTACAGAACTGTGCATGCGGATGTTGGGGGGAGAGCGGAGTTATGCTCCTCTACCGAGAGCCCTCCAGGGGGGGCTTCCAAAAGTGAGCTCCCCAGTGCTGACGGTCTACGAAATTCTCTTGCTGCTCAGTACAGAGAATGATGTGTGAGCTACAAAAAGTGATTTCAAATATATCAAGAGGAAGCCGACTGTAGTGGTACCCACCTGGAAGAGCGCATAAACCAAGAAACTGAGAGCAATTCACTCGTGACAGGGGCAGCCTGAAAAGAAAATCACTTTATCAAGTTTGGTTCAGTTTGAAAAGAGTTATAAATGGAAATTCAATTTAACCAAATGTGCACTTGCCACTGAATAGGGTGTTTTAAAGTTTTACAGTAGTGATAAAACAAAAATTCATAGTTAAATATCAATGTGTTGGTCACAAAAAGGCCTAGAAAGACTGAAAGTTTTAAAACAGGGACTTACGTGCATTGTTACAATTGAAGTCTTAAAAATGGCAAGTTAATTTATTCTGCCCTTAAACATCATGATGCCTAGATTGCCTAGAGCTAGTATAAATTGTACTTAAGGTACCCTGTGGTATGTCCTGAGATATTTGTATTAGTAACCTTAGGTAAATAAGCTGGAAAATGACCAACTGACAATTTCATCCCCAGCATTCATTCTACATTACTATTTTAAGATTTCTTTGTAGGACTTTCCTACACAAATATAAATTTCATATAATAAAAAGCACAGGCCATCCATTCTTTGCTGTAATGGATTTTGGCTAAAAAGAAGTAATTTCAAGAAATCCAGGCCCTTTGCGGTACTCAGGGACAGAGGGGCAGAGGCTCACCTTGTGTGCAGGACAGAGATGAGCGCAGAGGAGAACAGGGACGTCGCATGCGCACCAGCTGACTGAGAATTAGATGCATTTTTCAGTTTAAAAGGGAGGGTGAGAAGGGGAAATGAAAGAAAACTGCTATTTGATGGCAAAACAAAAGAACTTTAGGGACAAGAACACTTCCGCTCTTTTTTCTCTTCCTACAGTAGGGAATGGTGCTTTGTTAAAGAGAGAGATTATTTATAGGGGTAAGAGAAAGCATTTGATTGCTGGTTGCAGAGACTCCAGTGTAGCCATAAGTCACTGCCAAGATGTGCAAGTTGATTTTATATAGAAACTTCTGTTTTTGTGATTGTATCTATGGTAATGTGGCTTTTATCTTAAACAGGCTCTGCGGGTAAATGCATTCCTGTGGCAAGTCGCTCTAGGATTTGACTTGATAAATGATTAAACGTCTCATGCTATGTTTGGTACACAATTCTTTTGTTGGAAAAGAATAAGGACATTTTAGTACTAAATGGGAGATTATTCCAATCCTATCTCAACTTCTCAACTCCTTACGCACTTGTGTCTACTACGGTTTTCTCAATGGAGTTAGATCCTTTAAAGATTAGAATTATATAATCAATGGAGATTCCTCAAAAAACTAAAAATAGAACTACCATACGATCCAGCCATCCCACTACTGGGTATTTATCCAAAGAGCCTGAAGTCAGCAATCCCAAAAGTCCTGTGCACCCCAATGTTTATTGCAGCACTGTTTACAATAGCCAAGACGTGGAAGCAACCTAAGTGCCCATCAACAGACGAATGGATAAAGAAGATGTGGTACATATATACAATGGAATACTACTCAGCTGCAAAACAGAACAAAATCATTCCATTTGCAATAACATGGATGGACCTTGAGAGAATTATGTTAAGTGAAATAAGCCAGCAAGAGAAAGATAATCTGTGTATGACTCCACTCATATGAGGAATTCAAAATTATGGACTAAGAACAGTTTAGTGGATACCAGGGGAAAGGTGGGGTGGGGGGTGGCACAAAGGGTGAAGTGGTGCACCTACAACATGACTGACAAACATTAATGTACAAGTGAAATTTCACAAGATTGTAACCTATCAATAACTCAATAAAAAAAAAAGAATTATATAATCAGCAGAAGAGAATCACTAAGTATTTTCAGTATGTGGACTATATAAAGATTATTATGTACACATCAAATATTTTAGCTCCTGCTTGATCAGAAATGTTAACATACCATGATATCTGAATTGGAGTCTGTTCATCTTCGATAGGCTCTTCATCTGATGAGTCAAACTCACTTCTTTGCATTGAACTAGGCTTCAAAAGAAATCAGTTATGTTAAATAACTGTAAAGAAGAATATTCACTTATACTCTTAGTATAGCTGATCCTTGCTTAAACATACCCTGAATGCATGGCTGCAATTTAGTCAGCCTGGAATATCAGAGATCAGCAATATCCATAATCAATGACTGCTATTGACCATCCTATTAATAGAGCACTAGGAAGGGGACAGTGAGTTGGACTGGGAACCAGGAAACTTGGCTTCTGGTCTTGACTCTGCCACTTACCGTATAGTCTTGGATTAATTACTTGAGTTTATTCTACATCTCAGTTTTCCACAACTATAAAGTGAGGAGATTTATTCATTCATTCACAAACATTTCTGGGACACCTTCATTTGCCAAACTCTGGAGACGCGAAAATCCATAAGATAAATAGCTTGCCTTCAGCACAGTTGGAGAGATGTGTGCATGGATGACAGAAGAGATACAAGTGCTAAAATGGAAGCATAAGCTGTGCACTTTAGAGCAGAGAAGGCAGCGACTGACTGCTTAGGGAGCTGGAGAAAGCTTCCCAGAGGAGACGCAGTAGCTGGATTTGGGAGGATGAGCAGGAGGTTTTTAGGCAGATAGGGAAGAATTTAAAGCAAATAAGGCACGAGGAGAAAGGCTTGTATATTCACAACTGGGATATCAGAACAGAGGAGACGAAGCTAGAGAAGTCATTTTACCTATCCTATTTCTCAAAAAAAAACCACAGACAGCCACGTAGCTTGCTTGAGGGGATGGAGTATAGGTGAAAGACCTGCCTCCAGCTCTGTGACTCATCAGACAGGGAGATGGAGATGGAATATGTATGTTCATCTAAGCAGGAGGAACTCAGTCCTGCATGTGGGCAGCACTTTTACCTGGAAGACTGTTGGACCAATAAAACTAGGACAAAGAAAAAGCACATCTTTCTTCTACTCCCTAGTTGGAACCAAGTGAAAGAGAAGACAGTGGAGAGGCAAAAGGAGATCAACACGTTAGTTTTATTACTGAGCGTTGAATGGAGGATGTGGCTTGAAAGTTGTGGTCAAGTGGGCTTGTCAGTTCTTCACTCCAGGATTGGACCTATCCACCCAGTCCCAGGCTGGACAACCCAGCTCTCCAGGGTGGCAGAGAGCCCCCGGAAAGTACTCTCTGCAGAGAGAAGGGAAGAAAGGGTTGAGCTACTGTGTGATCAGATCACTCACTCTTCCCCTTCTGTGGACAAGTGGAGAAGGAGGCCAAGAGTGAGGACAGCTGATGTCCCTCCACATGGAAGCATGGGGATTAGCAAGTGTAACCCCCTACTGTCCTTTCTAGCTCTGCAGCTATATTCTATAATGGTCTTGTTTGTTACAAGATCACATTACAGAGCCAATTTAGGCGATGGATTTGAGTGGCTTCAGATCTGTTTGTATTATTATCAACTCAAGAGAAGGCTCTTCAACAGGTTGTCAGCCCGGGTGGTAGGTGATGTGAGTTAGGTGGGACTTCAGCCCCTCGCTTCTGTTTTTTTCTTTCTCTTTAAAGCAGTTTTTAAAGATTTTCAGTTTGTGTGGCCTATTCCCTCAGGCTCTCCCAGCCAGGTGTGCAAGTCCTAACAGGCTGGACGTTTCCGCTCCCAGGCCCAGGGATTCTGAACCCCAAGGAAAGGGAAGCAGGGCTAGGTGGCCCTGGGTGATGGCGATAGCGGTGTCACACCCACAGGCGGGGACTGGCAATCGTCTTTCGTGAAGTTTTCCCGTCGGCGGTGAGGACTGCTCCCAAGGGGGCGCAGGGACCCCGCGCATCCTCTGGGACTGGGGTATCAGGCAGATACCTAAGCTCTCTTTGTCTCAGTTTCCTCCGTAGAACGGGCCTCAGCCCGCTCTGGCAGGGCTGTAACGAGGCGCAAGGGACCCTGCAGGCGACAGCTCCAGCGCACGACAGGCGCACAGCGAGCGTCCATCTCCCCCCATCTGCCACTGACCCTGCCCTCCGCAGCCGGCGCCCTCGCCCATCCCGGGAAGCGCCACCTCCCGACTCACGGCGGTTACTCGGGAGTCACGGCCCACCAGGCCCACGCTGTCCCCGGGCCCACGAGCTGGCCTCGGCGCCGCTCCCGCCTCTGCCGCTCCGCCCCTCCAAGCCTCGGCCGACTCACCGGCTTCATCGCTATCCGCCTCGCGTCTGACCGGCCACCTCCTCCCTGAGCAGCACCCGCGTCTCAGCCTCCGCCGGTGCCGAGCCCACCCCGCAGCTCAGCTCATTGGTTCATCCTTCCGCGAGGTGGGCGTGGCGTCTCCTAGGAACCAATCAGACCCTCTCCCTGGTTTTACCCCAACCCCGGGCTCCGACTCGGCCTCTAACCGCTCATTGGTTGCTAGGAGGCCTTTGAAAGACGCGCGGAGGCGGGCCTGTTGAACGTTGATTGGCTGGGAGGGCGCCCTCCTCCCGCCGGTTGGGAGCGTGGAGGGCAGGGAGGCGGACGGGCAAAAGCGCTTTGGGGACGCTGGAAAGCAGTGCTTTCTAACGGCAGGATTTCGAAGTGGTAGCAGGGTAGGGAAATTTGTTTTCTCAAATTGTTTTTATATTTTAAGGCATGGGAGGAGCACTGTCCTGGAGCGTCTTATGAAAACACACCACATCATACAGACTTTATAATTATGGTCAAATCTAGTCAAGCAAATGCTATGGAAACGGCTGAAAATCCAGAATATAAACATACCTTGTATGTTTGCCATTTTATGTTTTTACCATTCCGGGATCTAGACAGGTTGGATGTAGATCAGCCTTCCTAGTCACTAAATATGAACACAATAGGTGTGTGAAGGGAAGAGAAAAGTCTCTAGACGGTTCTAAGTGCCAGTGTTTCCACGTAATTGTCTATAATCTTTAAAAAATGTATTTATTTTCTCCCCCATTCTCCAGTCCCCATTAGGCAGGCCATGGCGAAGGAGGTTAGAGCAACATTACCTGCAGATCTGACGGAAGTCTGCAGAAGTCTCAGCTCCCTGACTCACATTGTGAAAACCAGTGGGTATAGAGCTCTTAGGAAGAATTCCTTACTAAAGAAGATGGCACAGTTTGACTTGAGACTATTAATCAGGGTTCTCCAGAGAAACAGAAAGAATATGATATATACATGAAGAGATCTATTTTAAGGAATTGGCTTCCTTAATTGCCGAGGCTTAGTGAGTCCAAACTCTGATGGTGCGAGGGCCTGGGGATTCAGGAAAGAGCTGCCGTTGGAGTTCTGCTGTAGAACTGGGATGAGCCGATGCTGAAAGTGACGGTTGAAGGCCATGGGCAGCCAAATGCCCTCTTGCCTTTTGTCCTATCCAGGCCTTGGACTGAGTGCATGAGGCCCACTCACGTTATGGAGGGGAGTCTGCTTTACTCAAAGCCCACTGATTTAAAAGTTACTCTCATCGAAAAGCACCCTCACAGAAACATCCAGAATAACATTTGACTAAACATCTGGGCACCATAGTCCAGCCAGTTTGACATATAAAATTAGCCATCACAAACACATCGGACTTGATTCATCCATTCATTCAGTAAATATGTGTTGAACATCATCTGTGACCCAGGTACTATTCAAGGTGTTGGGAATACTGGCATGAACTAAACAAAGTCCCTGCCTTTATGGGGCTCACATACTGCTGGGGTAGACAGGTAGTGATACAAGCTGTGAAGAAAACTTAGGTGGAGCCTGTTGATTCTATTCTAGATTCTAGATAGAAAAGTCAAGGAAGGCATCTTTGAAGAGACATCATTTGTGAAACATCCAAATGAAGAGCGTGAACCTTTGAATATTTATGGGAAGAGTTTTCAGTCTGCAGAGTAAGGAGGTGCAAAGGCCCTGAGGTGGGAATGTGTTGGTGTGTTCAAGGAGGCCAGTGTGAGGCTGATTGAGTGAAGCAGAGAGTGGTGGGAAATGAAGCAGGGTCTTGTGGGAGGCTTAAGAGCTTCTTTTCTGAAGGATTTGAGAGAGGGTCCAGAGAAAGATTGGGCTCTAGGTGAGCTAATTCCTACCTCTGTATGACACAGGGGAACAAGTCCTCTCCAGGTGGGCTTCAGGATGTGTGACGCTCCCTCATTCCCTAACTCTCGCCGTCTTTCCCCTGTTCCCAGTGTTGTCTGCACACATCTCTTCAATCTGCAGCACCAGGTGTCCCTTCCATTTCCTCAGGACGTACCTTCCCCCTCAGAACAATGCCATCCCAGCCCCGTCTTGCAGATCCTGCCCCACCCCCCAGCCTCAGCGGGATGTGCGCACATTCTCCACAGAGAGGGGAGGCCGTGCTCCAGTCCTGTTGTGGGAAGGAGGTGAAGGGCTGGGGGAAACTGGGAGCATTGTTCTCTCCACCAGCAGGGCTGTGTCCTGGCTTTCTCTTTAACTCCCCAAGACACAGGCGTCTCACCTCTGTGAGGCAGGCTTTTTTTTGGTCCAGTCCCCGGGTCGGCAGACTAGGGCTTGTGGGCGCAATCCCACAGGGTTGTTTCTGCCCAGTTTTATTGGAACACAGCCACACTCGTTTCTGTGAGTGTTGCTGGAGGCTGCGTTTGCTCTCCAGTGGTAGAGTGGAGTTGTTGTCACAGAGGCTGTGGGCCTGCAGAGCCTAAAAACTTACTATCTGGCCCTTCCCAGAAAAAGGGTGCCCATCCCTGATATACAGTCTATGAGAGAAATGTCTATTTCTTTTAATAACACGATGTTAAGTCTACTTCTTACAAAGGAAGAGTCCTGGCCTCATCATGCTAAAACGTTCTCCTTTGCTTGGCCTGGTCCCTTCATTATGGAGGGTCTCAGGTAGACTGACAAGGCCTCTGGCCGAGCCAGCTGGTTAAATGGCGTCATAGTAACCTGGTTTCTCTCTAATCCCCAAGATCCTCCCCTGAGAGGAGGCGTGGGGGCTTAAATTGAGCCTGCCACACCTGTAGTCTTCAGTTAATTCTTTGGTGTGTGACTCATGGCTGGTAACAGAAATGAATGTGGTCAAAACAATGTGGAGACTCACCCAAACTACAAGAGGGAAAAGTATTAACACGTGTTCACAGACACATGCGTATTCTGAGAGACGCTCAAAGAGAAATGAAACACGACTGCCATCGGGAGTTGCACTTAGATGTATGTTTTACAACTAGACCCACGTTTAAAAATACTAATGGGTTTGACGTGTGTGTTGGGAGAGAACACTGGAATCTTAGAGTTGGATGCAACTTGGAGAGGACGTAGTTGCTCGTCCCTGACATGCGAGTTTGAGAATTTCTCTTGTGATGACCATCAGATACAGTATGTGACATCTGCAGCAGGCATGTGTGTGGTTCCCACTGCTTCTCCCTTTGGTGGTTACCCCTTTCCCTTTGATGGGGTCTTGCTGGGCATGTAACTGGGACTGAGCCATAAATGTACCTGTTCCTCTGATCAGTTACTGGTCTGGGAAGGAACAGGGCCCAACCTAGAGCATCTTCCTTGTCCAGTTTGCTTTGCTTGCTGGTGCTCAGAGTTTCTTCTTTACCTTCCTAAGCTTTCTGTTTTACCCCAGAATGAGGCTGAGTTCTAATTTGCACTGGATAATTGGAGTATATTGTAAAATTTGTTAAATTTATTTAAAATTTAAAATGCTGCTGTATTTTATGATTGAGAAGGATATAAAAATTTCACTCATCCCAATGGGCCAGGCTGGTGGCACAGCGGTTAAGTGCGCATGTTCTGCTTCAGTGGCCCCGGATTCGCCTGTTCGGATCCCAGGTGTGGACATGGCACTGCTTGGCACGCCATGCTGTGGTAGGCATCCCACATATAAAGTAGAGGAAGATGGGCATGGATGTTAGCTCAGGGCCAGTCTTCCTCAGTGAAAAGAGGAGGATTGGCAGCAGATGTTAGCTGAGGGCTGGTCTTCCTCAAAAAAAAAAAAAAATTTCACTCATCCCACATGCTCCTCTTGAGTATGGTCAGGCCTTACTAGTTTAACTAGTAGAATGTGTCAGAAGTGACAAATGATAAGCTCAATAAAATTTGATACCCACGTAACCAGCACCCAGATCAAGAAATGGAACATTACCAGCCTCCAGAAGCCTCCTTTGTGTCTCCAACCACGAGCCCCCACCCTCCAGGGTTACCTCTGTCTGACTTCTGATGCTGTTGCCTGATTTCGCATGCTTGTGAATTGTATATAAATGGAATCTTTTGTGTCTGGCTTATTTTGCTCAACTTTATGTTTGTGAGATTCATTCATGTTGTTGTGTGTGGTTGACTTGTCCATTCTCATGGTGGTGTTCTAGTGTCTGAATATACTATAATTTATTTATCCCATCTACTGTTGATAGCCAGTGGGTAGTTTGCAGTGCTGGGCTGTTTGGAGTAGTGCTGCTGTGAACATTCTTGTCCACGTCTTTTGGTAAACACCCATGTGCACTGCTGTTGGGTCTATTTGAGGATTGGAAGTACGTGTGTTCATCCCTAGTCGATGCTGCCAAACAGTTTTCCAAAGAAGCTGTACAAATTCCTGCTCCCGCTGGCACTGTGTTGGGATTCTGGGTCAACATCTTCGCCAGCATTTGGTATTGCCTGTCTTTTTCATTTTAGCCATTTGCTGAGTGAGTCGTTTTATTTCAAAGCAGCATCTAAGTTCAAATTCTTGAAAGACTCACACCAATCAGTTGGATATCAGAGAGAATCAGTAGATGCTGTTCTTTAAGAGGTAACATAAGTTCACAATTTTAGGAATTTTTGGGAAATGTTTCTATATTATGTATTAATTACCATGTGTAAATATTTTTCTGCATAACTTTATGAATGTACGTGTCATTGCAATGTGTATATTTTGGGGCATATGCCTACTTTAGACCATAAAACTACTGATATGAAATGAGTGGCCCCAAATTAAGAAGGTCCCCCAGTTTAGATGACATTAGTGAGCACTTCACGCTGTGATGGAAGCAACATTACTGAAGTTCCCCAGGCGCCACCAACTTGGGCTAAATTAAAATCACAATAACTACCCTTTACGGAATAATCTTTCTCTGGTTCTTTCTCTATCCACTATGTGAAATGGCACCCACCTCCATTCCTCAGGTAGGTCAGTGAGTTCTCACGGCTGACCTCCCGTATGCTCTGAGATCCAAGAGCAAGACACGTGCTGTCTTTGGTTCTCCTTGCTGGGGTAATGTCTCAGGTCTCTGCCAAAGCCTGGAGCAGCAGCAGTGCCGATGACCCTGGGGGTGCTGACACCCTCCCTGACAGCAGGGCCCCAGTTCTCTGTCGCTGCTGAAGCTGCCGGCACAGGATTTTGCTAACCCTTGCATCTTCAATGTCCCATTGAAATTCTAATGAAACAGCTTTTAGTTGTACTGGCTTTTTAAAGTCCTGGATCCCAGGACATTGCGTGTGGCCAACACTGGGCACTTCAGAGAACCATCCCTCCTTTCTGGGTCTGTCTTGGTGATGCTGAACCCAGTTTGTGTCCTTTGACTTTCTCTTCCCTTAGGGTAAGTTACTTCCCACGAGTGTTCTGGCCTCTCCTGTAAACAGTTCTGGCGAGAGTAACTCA